CTCTCACCTCCCACCTCTCTGTTTCTAAGTTCTGTTACTTCTCCTTAAGATATCCTAAACCCTCTAGTTCGCTCCATCCCTCTCCATGATTTTACTTAAAGTCACCATCATCTCTTCCCTGGAAACCTGCAATGGCTTCCTAGCTGTCTCTTCTTAATTATCCAGCCAATAGAGATCTTTCTAAATACAATTCTTAGTGAGTCACTTCCCTATGTAAGATCCTACTGATTGCTCAACTATCTCCAAGATAAAGTCTTCACCTCTTAGCCTGGCTTGGTTCCTGGGGTTCCTGCCTACTTTCCCAGTTTTCTCTGGCACCAACCCTGCTGCAAGCCCAACTCCTTTATGCTCCAGTGATACCAGTACTTAACTAAGGCATTTCCTGGATGTGGGCTTGGAATGCTAAACCAGGATAGTCCTGGGAAACCATTGTCACCCTAGGTGGTCACCCTAGTTTTGCCTTGGGTCTTTGCAAATCTTATTCTTCTCCCCAAAATGTCTCCCCTTGTCTCTCCACCTCCTATTCCCTACTCCATACGACTCGGTGTTGGTGTCTGCTTGGACATGGCTTGTGCACCTCCCTGTGAAGTGGTTGGTTGATTTGTCCCTCTGGGAGCTGTCACTGTATCTCCTGTCTGCTCTCTCTCCCTCATACTCATAAACTCATTAAAGGCAGGAACAGTTTTTTCTCCTACCTATACCCCCAGAGCCTAGCAGAGAGTTTGACACACAGTAGATGTTCAATAAAGTTTTCTTGAATTAATATCAATATAAATTTATCTTTGTTGTCTAATTCACATCACAATAGGGATGTTATGGACTGAATATTTATGTCTCTCTTCCCCCGCGCCCCCGCCCACCGATTCATAGGTTGAAGTCTTTTATTTTTATGTTGCAGTCTTAACCCCTAGAGTGGCTGTATTTGGAGACGGAGCCTCTCTAAGGAAGTATTCAAGGTTAAATGAGGTCATAAGGGTGGAGCCCTGAATCCCACCCTAATAGGATTCATGTTCTTATAAGAAGACACACCAAAACCTGTAACTCCCTCGAATGGATGCCCCTCTGCTGGAATTGGGCAAGCCTCTGTGGTCACCAGGGGATGACGAGTGACACGGTGAGACTTCCAAGGCCAGGACAAAACAGGTGGTTCAGATTCCCGCTGGTTGTCTCTTGAGCTGCTCACCCTTAGAACCTCGCCCCTGCTGTGAGAACTCCCGCCCAGAGGGGGAGAAGCAGAGGCCCGGCCTCAGCCCTGGCTGAGCCCCCAGTGGACCGTCAGCACCAACTCTCCAGGCCTGTCCCTGCCCCGTCTTGGAGTGGATCTTCCAGCCTCGGTGGGGAGGAGACAGGATGCTGTGTGGGTGGGAGACGGGCTCTCCCCGAGAGCCCTCCCAAGCTGCAGAATCACCAGCAGAACAGACTGTTGTCATAGCAACAAAGTTCGGGAGTAACGTCACAGAAATAGATAATCCAAATACAGCTTAAGACAGGAGGTAGCCACGTATGCTGGGCAGGTCTGTCCTTCTCTTGATATGTCCTTGTTCCACAAGAACCCGTCTATTCCAGACTGGCCTGTTCAAACATTTGCCCACAGCATGACTGGCTCCTGCAATAACCACAGCAGGTTATTGACTTTTTAAAAAATATCTTTTTATTGATTTCAGAGAGGAAGGGAGAGGGAGAGACATGTAGAAACATCAATGGTGAGAGAGAACCATTGATCAGCTGCCTCCTGCACGCCCCCTACTGGGATTGAGCTCAAAACCTGGGCATGTGCCCTGACCAGGAATGGAACCATGACCTCCTGGTTCAGAAGTCGACATTCAACCACTGAGCCACACCAGCCACAACCATAACGGTTTAGTGTGCAGAATCCTGGAGCTACCGCTCTCCCCCACTTACACAGCTGCCCCTGGTCTCTAGGAGCCAACAATGAGGGCTCAGGTCCAGGGAGAGGAAACCCTAAATCACAGCACCTGCTTTGCCCAAGGGACGATCCCAAGGTCTCACCTGGGTGTGTTTGCTTTCTTCTCTACCTCCAGGGTACGTGTGAACTTCCCTCTAGTGGTACAAACGAATCAATCGTGAATTAGTCATGTTATGTCCTTCCCTGATCATCTGGGCATCCAAACCACCATTCTCTACCATCATGTCAGGCCACTGTTTGCTTTTTGTTTGTTTGTTTGTTTGTTTGTTTTTATTTCACACCACCTTTTAAAACCATATTATAGTATACTAGAGGCCCAGTGCATGGATTCATGCACTGGTGGGGTCCCTCGGCCTGGCCTGTGGCTCTCCAACATCCCCTGAGGGGTCTCGAATTGTGAGAGGGCGCAGGCCAGGCCAAGGGACTCCACTGGTGCACGATTGGGGCCAGGGAGGGACCTCGGAAGGGCTCTAGGGTGTGTCTGGCCTGTCTTGCCCAGTCCCGACCTGCTGGACCCCAGCAGCAAGCTAACCTTTAGTCAGAGCATCTGCCCCCTGGTGGTCAGTGCGTGTCATAGCAACTGGTCGAATAGTAGAACAAACTGTCAGACACTTAGAATATTAGCTTTTATTATATAGGACTAGAGGCCTGATGCATGAAATTCGTGCAAGGGGCTCGGACCCAGCCACTGCCGCAGCCACTATGCCTCGGCCCCTGCCCACCATGACTTCGTCCGGAAGGACATCAGGTCTAATTAGCATTTTAGGCTTTCATTATTATAGATCAGTGGTTCTCAACCTTCTGGCCCTTTAAATACAGTTCCTCATGTTGTGACCCAACCATAAAATTATTTTCATTGCTACTTTATAACTGTAATGTTGCTACTGTTATGAATCGTCATGCAGGATGGTCTTAGGTGACCCCTGTGAAAGGGTCATTTGACTGCCAAAGGGGTTGCGTCCCATAGGTTGAGAACCGCTGTTATAGATGAACATTCGTGTTCAATATTACATTGTTGACAATCATTTAATTGTCTATCATTCTGCTTTACTTGGGTAACTAAGTATCCTAGAATGGTCACTTCTGGGACCTTAAAATGGTTACATGACCTTAAATGGTTTAGTTGAAAATGTGTGACTACTATTTTTGCAGCTAAATAACAGTTTATGTTTCCCAGTAACTCTCTAATGCCCATCCATTGAATATTTGGAAAGGTACATGTCACCCCACTGTGCTGGGTATTCTTCACTGTCCCACTCATATCCTTCCCTCCCCAGCCATCCCTCATTACCGGCCTCGGAAGCTGACATCTAAGAGCTGTGCCCCTGGCGTCTTTGCTGTTGACTTTCAGGTGAGATTGGCCAAAGGGAAGTGCTGTTGGAGTGTCAAAGGTGGGGAGAGAGGCGGGTTGAGTGTTCTCTGCCCCCGTAGGCTGTGTTCCCCACCACACAGCACACACCCTATTGGGTGGCCTCTCCCCTGACTACAGTTCTCACTGGGTTCTAGGAACAACGTGTCTTTTTCCCATCTGCCTCTTCAGGCCAAAGGACGATAAAGGTTTCTGCAGTTGCTACTTCCTGGGTGCTTCACTATCTCATCTTGATTCTTTTAATCCTGCCCAGCGAGTGAATTGTGTCCCCTCACCCCCACAAAGTTCCCATGCTGAAGCCCTAACCCCTAGGATTTTAGCATGTGACTGTCTTTGGAGATAGTGTCTTCAAAGAGGTAAGTAAGGCTCACTGAGGCCATGTGGGTGGGCCCCCATCCAATCTGACTTGTGTCCTTATAATAAGGGGGGAATGGGACACAGAGAGGACACATGTGAGGACACAGTGGGGAGGCAGCCATCTGCAAGCCACAGAGGGAGGCCTCAGAAGAAATCAACCCTGATGACACTGTGACCTTGGACTTTCCAGCCTCCGGACTGTGAGCAGATGAATGTCTATTGTTTATAAGCCACTCACCGATAGTATTTTTGTTATAGCAGCCTGAGCAGACTAAGACAGTGATACTTTGTGTGGGAAGCTACCCATGTCTTCACTATCAGAGAAGTGTGAACAAGGAGCCTGAATGCTGGTGAACCTTGAACCCTGGCAAGGGCCAGAGCTATGCACCGATTGTTTAGTCGAGACAATGGTAGCTCAAGCAATTTCCTGACCAAATAGTCTCAGAGTAAATCTTTACTAATATTTACTGACCTTTAAGATAGTCTGTCTGTTACTGGAATTGCCTGCCTGACCAAGGGCTATATGTGTATCCAAAATTGAATAAAAGATTGGCAAGGCCTGGTCACCAGGGGAAGTCCTTCCCCTTGCATTGGGTTTCCCGCCTGGCCCCCAATATTTCCAAATTATTATTTCTTGTCTCATCTCTGTCATTTGTATGCGGCCCTTCTCTAGATTCTGAACACTGAACCAAGCAAGATGTGGCTCGCACAACTTTGTTATGGAAGGCCTAGCAAATTAAGACACCCTGGTAAATAGGATGTAGTGTATGAACATCAAACTGCTCAAGCAGCCTCGGAGATGTGCTGAGTGCGTCCTTCCAGGACCCTGCCTCATACACCTGATATCACCAATGGTACTATCACATGACCCTTTATTAACCCCTATCATCACATTCCCATCTATGCTTGTGAATTTGTCACCATTTATGCAATGAATACCTTTTGCTGAAATACTGTAGAACTCACCTTCACAATAAAGTACCTACTGCCGACAGTTTCTTTCTTTCTTTCTAAAGATTTTTTATTGATTTTTAGACAGAGAGGAAGGAAGAGCGCGCGAGAGAAACATCAATGTGGAGAACCGGATATTGATGGGCTGCCTCCTGCACACCTCCTACCAGGGATGAAGCCCGCAACCCGGGCATGTGCCCTGACCTGGAATCGAACTGGCAACCTTTCCATGCACAGGACGATGCCCAACCAACTGAGCCACACCAGCCAGGGCCACCAACAGCTTCTATAGAGGAGCCAAGTACTATCCAATGCTCCAAGTGTGGAGCACCTTGTCATTTCTATAAAAATCTGTTCACATTTTTTAAAAATCCTCACCCAAGGATATGTTTTATTGATTCCTAGAGAGAGGGAGGGAGGAAGGGAGGGAGAGAGAGAGAGAGAGAGAAACATCTATCAGTCCTGTATGGGGATCGATCCAACCTGCTACCCTTTGGTGTGCTGGATGATGTTCCAACCAACCGAGCCACACTGGCCTGAGCTCTTTTCACATTTTTAAATCAGCTTCAGCTCTGAAGCCTGGATGGGCAACGACCGAAGGCCAGAGTGTCTCTGAAGATGCTGCATGAGAACTTTGGTGGCTGCCTCGGTGGCTGGGAACCCCGCCAACCGACGAGGAGGCCAGGCGAGCTGAGCTGGGACTTGCAGAGGGGAGCTGGGTTCTGCACTCAGGGACACCTAGGGAGGAGAAAGATATCATTAGAGTGAGAGTCATTGAAACATCAAAGGAAGCTATATAATTATCCGTATTTTAATGATGTAAAACCATTGTGCCAAATCATAGGACTGGGTGGGATTTATTGAGACTTCCCCATTTCACCACCCCTTATCCCCATGCAATCTCCGCCGTGAGCCGCTAATAATAACTTCTTTCGTCTCCAGAGTGCTTTCACAGCCATAATTTCATCTGAACCTCAGGGAATTCTGCGAGGTGGGCAGGGAGGTCTGAGCACCTCCTTTTCACAAATACACGAAACCGAAGAACAGGCAGGTGCAGGGCCAGCCCACATTCACAGAGTGAGAAGGTGTTAGGGCTGGGGCTGGAGACTTGGGATTCTTAGGCCGGGTGAGTATCAAGCGCCCATATTTTATACTCCCTACTAATCTGGGCATGCTCACATTCTCTCTGAAAAGGCAAATGTCACAGGCTGACCTTCCAAACAAAACTCACGGCGAGGAAGGCTTTCTCCTCTGCGTCTGGCCGTAGCAGGAAATGGAAGAGGAAAGAATGGAGAGAAAGCATATGCGTTGAGCCTGCAGGAAACTTGTACGTTTACCCTTGCTTTGGCTCCTACCGCGTGCACAGACATCAGGAGACTGAGCGGACACACAGATGCCGCAGCCTTCCCCGAGCACAATCCCCCTCCTATTCCCCCGCGTTCAGCCGGCAAGTCTCAGCAGCAGGTCATTTGTTAAGTCCCCCTAATGCTCTGTTAGAAATGTGTGCAACACACAGGGTTTCTGTTCCTCTGGGCGAACTCAGAAATTGCTTCAGCTGATGACTGCTGTCCCCTGTCCTCCTAGTCCACAAAGGTGCATCACACCTGCTCTCTTTGCTCCTCTAAATACAGCCCGTCCTTCAAGGCCCACTTTCTGTAAGGAGCCTGACCCTCAGGGGTTCCTGCCTCGTCTGGATTTCTATCGAGGTCTCTGGCTTAGCACGGAACATACCTATGCTCTTGGCATTTGGCATTTGTTTCTGAACGTCATTGTTTGTCTTCTGATGAAAACGCAGGCTCCCTGAGAGCAACGCTGGAATCTTCCACCTCCCTGAACCCTCGGCTGCCTGCCTCCAGCTGAGAGAGCCATCTATGTTTACTGATCTTTCTGGCAAAGAGCGGGCAAAACTGGGGTTCAACACAGCGAGGCGTTAGAATCGAGGAGGAAAGGGGGAAGGAATGGCAGGTATAGCTTCCCTGGTGTGCAGTGTTGAGATCAGCATGGGGTAAGCATGTTCAGTGTTGCTCTAAGATCAGCACCAGGGAAGACAACACATAGAAGTGTTCCTTTGTGCTATTTTAGTAACAATGAAAGTAAAATAATACCTGCTGAGAAGGAAAAAGAAAAAACTAGCTCTCTGTGATTCAAGAATGGGCAAGTCACACCTCACCTGTAACAGTTTCAAATTTAATCCTATTACTGCGTAAAACTTATTTACCCCTGCATTTGAGGAACCCCTTCCCCCTAGGCCCCCAGGGAAGTCCACAGGCCCAGGCAGGCTCCTCGAGCTCTCCTTTTTCTCTGGGGCAGGTCCCAGGGACTCCCCCCCACCTCCTTCTCTCTCTCAGTAATGGTCATCGCCTTTCCAGATTGTGGGCTTTCTCCTCCCTTCAAGCTGGGCTCAGGAAAGATGATCTCCGTACGTATACACTCCCCTGCTCTCCGTGAAAGCAAGTTCCTAGACCCGCTTCTCTTCATTGTAAGACTTTAATGTTCATTGTTATAAGAGAAAAGACAAGTTTTAAGGGGAAAACGTGAGGACGTTGTATACACAGGTACACACCTGACAGTCCTGGATCTTGGTCTAGAGCAGTGGTTCTCAACCTTCTGGCCCTTTAAAGACAGTTCCTCATGTTGTGACCCAACCATAAAATTATTTTCGTTGCCACTTCATAACTGTAATGTTGCTACTGTTATGAATCGTAATGTAAATTGATATGCAGGATGGTCTTAGGCGACTCCCGTGAAAGGATCGTTCAACCGCCAAAGGGGTCGCAACCCACAGGTTGAGAACCACTGGTCTAGAGCATCTGACAATCTAGAAATAACTGGAAACTTTTTTTTTCTTTTTTCACCAATGTTGGGGACCAGCCCCTGGTTCCTGGCACAGAGCTCCTAAAACTGTAAATTCCCAAGTGATACAAATCAGTGCTTAAAGAACTTGCTTAATCTTCCAATGGTTGTAGTACAGTCTATTTATAGATGAGCCATACTGATACATATTTGAGCTGTTCCCAGGCTTGCACGTACAAACAATGCTGATATAAACAATCCTCACATATGCACAGGTCTATCTGTGGTGGCCCGTGATCGGACGGGCTATTGGTGGCGACAGTAATCCTAGTACTGGGGCATCATCACAAAGCCCATTCCTCTCTCCAGCCAGTTTCTATGTCTTTAAATAGAAGGACATTGGAGAAGAGAAATGTGAAGCCATGCTTTACACATCAAGAATTCTCTGTCCAGCTGGCGTGGCTCAGTGGTTGACCCTCGACCCATGAAACAGGAGGTCACGGTTCAATTCCCGGTCAGGGCACATGCCCTGGCTGTGGGCTCGGTCCCCAGTGTGGGGCATACAGGAGGCAGCCAATCAATAATTCTCTCTCATCATTAATGTTTCTCTCTCCCTCTCTGAAATCAATAAAGACATATTAAAAACAAACCAGAAAGAATTCTCCAGGGTTCTGTTCTTGGCCCACATCCTGGGCTATTAGTGCCTAACTCTTCAATTGCTATCTCACCCCGCTCTCCCTCCCCAGCTCCTGGCTCACACACTCAGCTCTCTTCTGACTCCGCTACCTCACACCTGGCATGTCCTACTGTGTTGTAGTCTCAGTAGTGGCGGCAGGAACATTAATACGATTGCTCAACGCAGGTACCTAGGAGTCATCCCTTACTTGACCGGAAGCTTCCCCTCACGCCCCTCCACCCCCTGCCTGTAAGCATCTGGAGGGCAGAGACCGTATTGTGTTAGGACTGTACCCCTCGTGCCTAGTCCAGGGCCTGTAAACTACTTGTTGGATCAATGAGTAAACACACGAATGATTCCTCCTTCTTTTCCCCAGAGCAATGGCTGGAACCACTGGGCGGGTGGACTTTGAAGCAGGGATGGAACACTCCTGCCCTCAGGCAGGAGGTCATTTCATTGGGCAGAAAGAAGTCGTGAGAGTGGTGAGGCGCTCCTGAGGCCGACTGACCCAGGAAAGGGGAGGTTAAAGCTAAGGCTATCAATAGGGCACATGCCAGCTTCTCTACCTGTATCTGTCACTCCCTGATTGGACCTTCTGTTGTTGTTTTCCATTCATGTTATTTGCAGAAATTATCAAATGATCACTGATACAAACACCACCCTTGATAAACCCATGGATAACTTAAGAGCATGGATTAGGAAAAGGACCATGTGGACGTGAATACAGGACCAATGATGACAGCCCCTGCAATGCCCCCCTCGTGAATAATTGCAAATACATGGCTGCTGGGCCTGGTGAAGAGAGTCACATACTTGTGATTTCATTTACTCTCCCCAAGCCTGTGAGATGGTAAAGGGAGGTAAAGAAGGTGACAATCTTCACTTTGTGGGAGACCCCACCCACACCCCCTTTTAAAAAAATCTACCCTGAACACTTTATTATGAGAGTCATGTGGTGAAACTGTATATAAAGCCCTGGCCGGTGTGGCTCGGTTGGTTGCACGCTGTCCCATTCACCAAAAGTCACTGGTTCGATTCCTGGTCAGGGCACATGCTCAGGTTGTGGGTTCAATCCCCCGATCGATGTTTCTCTGTCTCTCTCTCTCTCTTTCTCTGCCCCTTTCTCTCTCTCTACGAGAAACTTAAAAAAGATAAAAACATTTTAAAAAAGAGAAGGATATTATTTTAAAAACTGTACATAAATATGAATTGCTGTGTTTGCAAATCATAAAACCAGTAGTTGTTTTTGGTTTGTTTTAGTCACAGAAACACAGCTTCAATGCAGCCTGCAAACTGCCTAAGCCTAGGCCTGGGGCTGAGTAAAAGTCAGGGCCACTGGTGGGGATACAGGCTCAGAGCACAGACGAGATGGCTGGGGAGGGTCCCCCTCGATGGGCTTCCCTCTGAGAGGGGAGTCTATGAGGGGTGGTGGCTTCAGCTTCATCCCCAGGAGGGAGCTGCTTCATGGACTTCCCATTGGGGGCTCTGTGAGGGGGACCCCTGCCATCCTCCCGCCTGTCTGGGAGCCCAGAAGGCTGCTCAGACCCACCTGCCACCCTTCGAGGGGCCCCTGCGTAGGTCAGCACCTCTGCAGAGGGTGCTCCATTTCCCTCCTAGCCCACGCTGCTTCTGTGAGAACAGAGGGAAGGGTTAGGGAGAATCATCAACACGGCTTTAAGGAAGCCTCAGGCCTCTGCTGTTAACCTTGGGGTAAAACTGTCAGCTGTGGAGGAAGGCTAAGCAACTCCAGGCAGGGTTTGGAAATTTAAATCCAAGACTTAAGTAAGTGAAGTAAGGGAGGGGAGTGTTGCAAAATGTTCATAGGCCATAAGCTCAAACGGCTGCTTGCTAGTAATGGTTATGAACTCAGATTTCAAAACATCCCTGTCTCAGAAAATTAGTTTCTACTGTAGTTTGTGGTGAAATACTATGTTACTAAATGTTCTACACACACACACACACACACACACACACACACACACACACACACTCTCCCAACATATGTACGTGCACGTTTTAAACCCCAGTAGTAACAGCGATTAAAATATGTTATAAATAGTGTGTATATAACAAATAATTTTACATAGCTCACAAACACGTTTCTTCTGGTAGATCCTGAAGAAAAGCCAGTTTGTGTCAAATATTTGGTGTTTAGCTCTTAAATAAAAACAAGCAGCCATTTGGCCCCGGTCTCAATATCCAGTGAGAGAGAAGCAGGTAGAATCACCCCTGTTGGAAACGCCAGGGTCATTTGTTAACCTAACGTGAC